GAAAGACAGAGGGGGAAAAACCCCACCACAAATTGACAAAAATTATCACCTTTAAAAGAAAAATTATTCAAAGTACTCATCTGAAATAGCAGGTGTAAACAGAACCCTGATTTCAAAATTAGTATTAAGGCTCCAAACAAATTTAAAATCCCACAGAAAACATCTATTAGTATTTGAACTTCTTTCAGAGATGCCTTGCAAAAATGGGGAAAAAAAAAGTCAGCTATTGGGAAAGGTTCATGAAAGCATGTCTAATTAACTCTATTAAGTCAATATAAACATATAAACTTGTTTATAAGGGGTGTTCCAATTTCATCATTCAGGTGTTTGCTCTGCCCACAGTTTCTATTACAGCAACTAATTCTAGTCTCTGACCCTCTCCTCCCCAAAAATTTTACTGGGGGGTGGGGGAATGTGGGTATTATACACCACATAGGGTATTATATACCATAAAGGGTATTATTACTTCCTACTGCACTTCACATGTAGTTCAAACATTTAATGCACATAATGCTTATTCTTGTAGAATTAATTAGCCCTAGTACCTTTCCATGGCTTTAGCTGTATAAGGCAAATGCATTTCAATACTGTGTTCATCTTCATCTGTCTGTAGGGACATACGCTCAAACATTCCAGTCTTCCACAATTCTCCATAAACTGAAATGAATTAAAGATTAATTTTTACTACTTTTTTTTTTTTTAAACACTGTAAAGCAAGCTACAGTGCATCTATATCAGAACAAGCCCACTATAACAAATCACTTCCCTCCAAGGGCTGTCATCATAAACCACTTGTTTTTTAAATAAATTCAGGATTAAAATTATGTTCAAGTCATTAAGATACAAACATAATTGATTCAGTTTACAAAATAAGTGTGTTAAATCAGTGACCTTGTTAGTATATTCAGAAACATGATAGAAAATTTAAGTAACACAAATAAAACACATTTGAAAATATGCATGCACTTGCCCCATCATTGAATTCTTATTTTCACAAATTACACCATCATATGTTTTAAAAAAGAATAAAGAATTGCTGATCAGCTGAGCCATTGCTGGATGTGTTAATATTTAATACAATTTATTATTAACTGAATCGTGAAGTCTAGAGACAGTGAAAACTGATTAAGTAATTCACATTTATGAGTTATCTTTTCTACTCCCAAGTGCGCTTGGTGGTATGCAGAGTCATCTCTACGTTTTGAAAACTCTCCACCAGATGAAGAACTTGATGTAGGGCTGTGCCTCCTTCTCCACTCCATAAAGGAGTTCTACAGAAACTGAAACATTTGTTACCTAAGGGAATTTCTGCAGGCACTATGTAGAAAGACTGAACTAGCTTGCTTAACCACAGTCATGACGAAATAGCAATACATCTGCACTGATTAGCCCTTCTGAAAAAGGTGTTGTATTATTTAGGTATACCTCAAAACACATGAAAGTCAAAATATCAAATTTATCTTCATCACACCTTTCAGCTTAGTCTGAAAGGCTGGTATTTCATGGACTAACAGTTTTTAAGTTCTGTAGGTACTCTGCCAGTTAAAAAAACAAACAAACAAACGTCATATGAAAGAATGCATCCAAATAAAAGCAGCTTTTTGTTCCTCTATAATTCCTCTATTAGATAAACTCAAACCAACCAAAGCACTATTTTTTTTTTCAGACAGAATACTTCACAGAATAATGGAGCAGGTGTGTAGTGGGCTATTATTCAAATGTAACACTTTAATTTTGAGATCCCTTTTAAAGATCACTTGGCAAGAGGCACAGACTCGTAATGGGAAAGATAAGCAAAGACTGAGAATTCTTTACTTGCAGGAGCAAGAGAGATGTTAAGGTTATAATATAGCAATGCCTGCAACCACCAGGATCGTTCAGAAGCTAGCTTTCATCGCAGTAAAAACAGATTTATACTTGTATGCCACTTAAAAGCAATGAAGAGCCCAACAAGAGAGCCCTCAGCACTGCTTGAGTTAGTACTCAAGCCTCAGCAATCTTCAAGATGTAAGCTTTATCATGCACTTACTCTTTTGGTCAATTCGGAGATCATACAGAGGTGTTCTATAAATGTCCACACTGGAAAGTGCACATCGGGAAAGGGGCACGTGATGGGAAGGCCCAAGAATGAAAATTTTTCGGCTACAACAATTAACACAAAAGCCCACAATTTAGACAACTGCAACTGTACAGAGACTTGGTTTAGAGTAACAAGTTCAATAAAAACGTACAAAGTGATACTTTCTGGTGGTTACCAAAAGAGTTTTACTCTGCTGTGTGTAAGACCAGAGATCAAATCCATGGCCTAGCCTTGCTCGGTATCTCAGAAATAATCATGAGATCAGTTCAATAATGCTTGTAGCCTTCAACCTCTTAAGCAGGTTACACATCAGAGGGCACTCATCAGCTAGTAATCTGTCTGACTGGACTCATTTGGAGGCTGAATGATGTGTTATAGCCCCTTAGAACAGATTTTTGGATTCTCTCCTTGGACCAACACAACCTTCAGTTACACACCACCTTCAACAACTACAGATATGCACCCTCAAATGGGAATTATGGATTTATCATCTATTCAGAGCTTTTCATGTATTTACTTGATTAGCCTTACTTCAGATTTCACCAAATTTAAATTTAAGTCATTCTCAAATGCTGGTTTTACCCAGCTGTTGCATCAACAACAGGGACTTGGACCTGCACATTCATAGCTTTAGCTGATACTGCAAGCTTTCACACATCATCATGATGTTATTTCATCAAGTCCTCCGTTCCTGGCTCTTGATTAGATGTTAAGGGTCTCCTGCCACACGACTTAAAGAAGAAAAAAAACACACACAGGAAATTCAGCATTTCAAATTCAGGATCATATCATCTTGCTGCTGCCACCGAACTAAAGGGGTGGGAGACATGTAAGATTTTTTCTTTTTCCCCTTACATGTGGAGTGCTACAGCATGCTATACTAAGACTTTTTACAGAGCTTATAAAAACAAAATATCCAAACGTGGAATACTTCAGCTGAAAGATGAATGACTGGCCAATTCTAAAGATCCCATGTGGTAAAATAGCAAATGATCCAGAAAGTTCAATCAACTCCATGTCACTGAACCTGGGGAATGCAACTTGTTCTAGAAATCTTAGGAAAACTAGTTATCTGTCACACTGTAAGTTACTTTCACTTTGTTTACAATAGCTTAGAAAGAATCAAAACCATTGCCTTTGGAGAGCATTACAACATGTGATAACATAAGCAACTGACAGACATAGCCAGCTTTTATACTAACATTGCAAAATACATACTTTGAGTAAATACTGGAGATGGTTTAAATTTTTGTCATTTAAAAAAACATTGCAGTCAGCAGAACACATAAGAATTATATTCCTTTAACCTAGAATAACTGGATTCATATTTTCAGAGGCAGGCACAGACTACAGTAGCGTGTTGTTTGGGGTTTTTTTTTTATTATTTTTTCTCTCTTTTTTTTTTTTTAATTGTTGTGCTGTTAAAAACACAAGTCCATTTAAAATTATTACAGCAAGTAACTTTCACTAACTTCAAATATTATATACACACACTGGTCACTTTCTCCACAGCAGAAGAGAATCCTGGTAGCATTCAGCCCATAATCCTGCACTGAAAAACCAATGCAGAATCATGATCAAATATTTTAACATACTTAAAAAAACACACAAAACCTCCCAATAAAAACAAAACAAAAAAGAAACAAAAACACCCTAAGACCAGTTAAAAAAACAAAACAAAACAGCTTCAGCTTTTACAAAAGCAGTGGAACATCAAGCAATAAAGTAAATTAAATGTTATTGCCTGCAAAAGAACACCTTTAACCCCTCCCTTCTAAAAAGTTAGCTACCAATAATTCCCCATAATTTTTGAAAACACTGCTTTACATTTTCAACAATACTGCATTAATTTTTTCTTTTGTAACATCCAAACAATTTGAACATTTATGATGTTAAAACAGAAGAAATGCATAAAAGACTAAAAAGAGTACAAAATAAAAATTGGAGTACTTTGAGGTGTAAGAATGTAAAAAGAACATTCAACTTCTCAGAAAATTGCAATAGCATTGTCTTACACTCTGTAAAGAAAAACTTTTATACTTACGTAATATTAGGATCCACTTGTTTGTAGGCATGGGCTGCACAAGATCCACAATAGGTATATCCTGCGTGGCTGCAAATCAAAGTGTACAAAACGTTAACGTATTAAATATTGTTTAACATCTTAAATATGTTGATATTGCTATTAAATGTTAATATCTTAAATATTATTTGTCCCCAATGAGCTAGAAATAGTAAGAGTGATCCAAAGAACAACTTCTGAAACAGCTGGAGAGCACGGCTCCAGGAGTGAACGTACGAGGAACGTATTTGTTAGAGAACTATCAGTGACCACTTACTTGAAAGTTAGTAAGTAAGCCTCCAGATCAAAGCACCTTTCATTACTTGTAAAAGATACTTGTAGGCAGACTACACAACTGCATATTATCAGAAGCTCATGATAATGCTAAGGGTTTAGCCAGGGTAGGTACAAGGGAATAGCAAGCTGCTGGAGAACGCTCTTCTAACCACACTCCAGGAACTGACTAAGACGACAGTAGAGGGGTCTGGCAAAGGGAGACTACACGTTACTGCAGATAAACAGAGAATAAAAATGCTCCGTCATTGAAGAAGAATACCTCAACAACAGAAGGAATTGGCACAAGGAAAGGAGTGGAACGCAGCACGGTAGCTTTTACTGCAGAGAAGGCAACATATGCTTTATCATTTCCTATCACTTTGGCCTGGAGCCTTTCTCGACCTGTGTTCCTGTGTGTGCTCCAAAATCATTCATAATTATTCTGACTACTTGTTTTAAATCTTAAGACCCATTCCATTCAAGACTGTTAAAAACAGGAGAAGATTCAATTTACAGCGCTAAAAGCATTAATTCCAGAGAACGTTCATTCCCCAGAGTCCCAGGCCAAGTGGCCAACGGCTCACGGTCACTCAGCAGCATGTCCACAGCAGAAGGCCATGCCCACATTGCACACTGCTTGGGCCACGTCGCCTCTGGAGTGCCTGTGACCCTAGGTCAATAGTGAGCATTTATTTTGAGTCAAGTATGTGCAACAACACAACAACAGCTTTCCAGATGGTCTTTTTATACAATGACACTGAGAATGATATTCACTCCAAGGCCTGCGACATACAGGATATTTGAAGATACAAGCTCCCCATTGACAGCACTGGAGGATTTTACATTTATTTATATGTATGTATGCAGACATGCATGTATACACATCCGCAGAATGACACCTGGAGCAAGTTATCCTGAAAATTACCCTGGGGTTTTTCTTCAACATCACTTACCTCACTCCTTCTGAAGAGCTCAGAAAGGTACTAACATACATGCTAAGGACATAAACAGAAGACTGAAACTTAGTGAAACAACAAGGTATGTTATATGACAATGTCAACAGAGCCTTCTGAAAGGCTGCCTCTGCTACAGGCCTTCACAAAAATATTTCAGCCTTATTCCACTTTACAGGTGGAAAAACAAAGGCACAGTTAATGAAACAATTTGGTGAGACCATGGGAAGACCTCCAGCGGTTCTGGAAAAAGAACCCAGGTTACCTAACCCACAGCTGAAAGGCCTCTTTCCAGACATTCCCGCGAGAACCACTAAGGCAGATTTGGGACAATTTCTTCTGCACATTCAATACCATTATGGAATACTTCAAACGTTATGTCAATGCTATGTCAGCACACGAAAAACATCATTTTTAAGGTGCTTTTTCAAGTGTTTCCTTCCACCTCACAATAAGTTGGAACGACCAACATACTTTTCTTATTATATGTCTCAACTACCTTCAGTAAACTGAATTCTACCTAAATAGTTTAGATGATCCCTATTTCTCCTGTGGAGAAAAAACCCCTAACAGAACCAAATTAAAATAACAAAAGTAAACCATTTTGAATAGCTGAATAGTGCTTCATTACTTTTGTTTTAAACTTTGCTAAGTTTTGATTTGGAGGCAATGTTGGTGTTTTGTTTATTTGTTTTGTGGTTTGTTTGTTTGTTTTAATATGTGTAGCTGTTCTATACTAGAAGTGCGCTGAAAGAGCTGTCATCTTTAGACTACCACTCCACTAATACACCTCTTATCTGTCTCACTGGATCACAAGTGAATGTTGTGTCTTCAGTCCATCAGCAAAAGGAAACTAATCATATACTCAAATGTGCACAGATTTCTTCCATTCCATGCCATATCCAAAATACTTATTTAGAAACCACGACATACCTTTCAGCTAAAAATTAGCTTTCACCAGTTTTCAAAATCACTCAAAATAAAGAAGCATTTAACTAGTCAAGTATTATATATACTAAAACCAGATTTCAAACTTACGGTGCAATAATGGCTCTAGCAGGTCTCTTTGTGGACTGTACTTGAGAAAGCCACCCTTCTAGTTGTGCATTCAGCTGGGGTCCTATGAAGAGACAAGGAAATACTGAAACCATAAAAGAATCTAAAAATACCTCAAGAATTAACAAATAAAGTCCAAAAGTCCAACAGATTTAAAATCATCTTAAACATCAAAGCCTGTGTTTAAATCCCCCCCCCCCCCCAAAGTACATCCAACATGCCTGTAACACTGAAGGTTACAGTAGAAAAGTTTCAATCTCCTAGTCCAGGAAGTTCATTTATTGCACATCCAAACACACACTTATTGTTTCTTGCTCTGTGGACTGATGCACTTACCATTTAATCATTAGAAAGGATGGCTGCTGATCTCAAAAGAGAGGCTAACAGATGATTGATTCCTCTGGTAACCATATTTGCAGAATTCAGAAGTAAAAATTTAAGACGACCTATACCAAGAGAGCCTGATATGGGAAGATAATATAATATAAAGACCTTACACACTGACATGATAGCCAATGGCTATGGTATTTAGTCCTTTATTATTATCAAGCAAGCCTAAGAGCAGAACACAAAGCACGCCGTAACTTGGGAAAACTGTAAAAACACAGGAAAAAGCTAAAAGTGAGAAGACACCATGCTTATACCTTAACAACTTCTGATCAATCAACATATACTATAAGTACATAAACTTTGTGGCAACATTAATTTTGATAATTGTTCAATCCAATATTTAACTTTTTTTTTTTTTAACTAAATCCCGTACCTCAACAAGTGGCCAATATTCTCAAGTCAATTAGCTGACATGATAAAAATGCCTTCTAGGTATACAACATAAAAAAAGATACATTTTCATTCTTTTCCATCACAAAGAAAACTTTTTGATGTAAAGCTATTCCGGAAGAAGCAAGTCAGGCAAATGCAGTGCAACGTTCATTATACTAAAGAACACAAAACAAACTTTCAGGTAAAATTCATTCAGCTGCTATTGTTGCAAGTAACAAATCGTTAACAAAGAGAAAAATGGATGCACTTTTTTCAGTTGACACTATGCTTTTGACAGAACTGTATGTCAGCAGAGTTTATCTGTAAAGTATGGTGCAGTAAGCCGCTTTTTTCTACCACACACCTTGTAGATTTTTCCAGCTTCCCCATGCAGGTGTAAAACCACCAACTGACAGGAAAAGTCAAAACCAAATTAAATACCTGAAACTACTTCACAGCTATGTTGCAAACAGCCCAGATCTCAAGCTGACAGCTCTCCAAAGAGCTGACAAGAACTACAGAGAACTGAAGCAAAGATGTCAACTTTTGCAGAATCCAATCAATCATTCACCAGTGACAGCCAAAAACCTTACTCTAGAAAACCCAGGGGGTGTCAAAGCCACCTTTTTTTTTTTTAAATATACAAAACCTAAATTCATGTGTTTCATGAAAAAAAGCATGACTTCTGTGGTTGTAAAGAATGCTACCTTCTTACATGAAGATGAACTAGTGCAATGCTGTTTCCCTAAGCCTACAATCACCTTGAATGCCTTAGTTGCTGCCTACAGCACTGCTGTAATACAGTGACTTTGTGAAATGATGAAATTGTCAACAACAAAAAAAAAAAACAAAAAAAACATACACACCAATTTTGTTCTGCTGATTCTGTTGCTTGGGGAAATTACAAGCAGCAGAGACATGCAATAGAGATAAGGATAATGACATTGTAGAAAATGGAGGCTGTTGGGGAAGCTAAGTAAAAATAAATAGATCTCTACTTCCATCCTCTTTCTAAGCTACTAGGAGACTAACAAAACAGTACTCTATTACAGTCTTACCACTTTTTTCATACACTGAAGAGTGAAGGCACAAATCACTTAAAATTTTACTTCCTAATTCTCCCAAAGTATGTAGAAGGATAAAGTACTTTCGGAATGAAGCTTTTTAGGAGGACACAATTTTTTTTTTTTTTTTTCCAAACACCTACTACCCAGAGATTTAAACAAAACATGACTTGGCCTTCCTCCGTCCCTTCTTTAACATGGGTTTTTGATTAAGAAGGTGGTTAAGGCAATTTGTCTTTGGTTAAGACAAATCAAGTAACTTGTGGAACAGTTTAAAGACAAAATTCAGAATCTCTGGTCATTTCTTAAAATTCCATAAGCTTGTTCAAACCTGGCCAAAACTTCTGATCTTACAGTACAGGAGCAGAGTAAGATGCCCAGGTTTGCTTAGTCTGCTATTACAGACACACACTCTGACAAAGTAACAAACCCTTTTTTTTTTTTTCTAGAGTCAGTAAATAACAGATCTATATGACCCAAGGGATGAAACTTCTGTCAGTGTTTACTTAAGGACCAGGTAACACACATGCTTTCAGCTTGTTTTTCCCTTTAATATAACTGCAAGGTGCCTTTTAAAATCATTAACTCTGACCTAACGTAAGTTTCCACATCAACTGATACTTACTTGTACTATTTCAATAAAGTGTAATCAAATCTCTCTCCAGAGGACTAACGGAAAGAGAGAATGAAGAGTACAACATATCCCCCTGACCTTTTAGCTAAAGAAAGAAAACTTAAAAAAAAAAAAAAAAAAGAAATCGAACAGCACCCACCTGAACTGACAAACTGACAGGAGTATAGCCCACCTGCAGGTTCCTATGCTCACAAATAATTTAAGGGGGCTATTCTAAAACTGTAATTTTCTTGTTACCAAATTAGCATCAACTTTTTGCTGAAGTGTTCAGAGGGGTTTTTCTTCCAATTTCTCAAACATGACAGTGCTTAAGGCTAAAGTCAAAATATTTGAATTGGATATACAAAATATAAATAAACCCACATTATCACAGTAGATATAATACAGTTCCATATGGCAGAGCATAAGAGATGAGTAGCTTCATGAAGAGCTCTGTAACTAAGTTTTGTTCATATGTAAATTAAGTTGAACTGGAAAAAAGTCTGCAAATAGTCACTGAGAGAACTGCAGTAAATATCCATCTCCTCAGCTGACAAGCATGGGCGAGGAATAGCGCTGCCACCCATGGATCCCCTGCTGCAGTGGTGGGAAGCAGGAGAGGTCCCTGCCCCTGGAGCGGCAGGTGGGACACCCAGCTTGAGAAAGCTGGCAGGATGAGCGCAGCGGGGTTTTTAAGGCTAACCCACACAGAAGGACAGAAAGCCTCACAGATGCAACTTCTGGATGCAACAATCAATACACTTCAGCATTAATACTGTAAGATCAGACTTTTTATTGATTAAAGGAAGACTAGACAGCAAAATATGAGCTTCACTAAAGCACATAACATTAAGATGTACATTTCAGTCCTATGAAGTAAGGTATAAATATAGGTATGTAACTAAAGAATGCTGACAGTTATCTGTGCATGTTTCACATCCTGTTTTGTTTTGGAAACTGGCAGAAGTTATGCCAAATTAAAAATAATTGCAAGCACAGACCAAGGCTCCACCAGACAAATTTATGGATATAGCTACAGGCAGAATTTATTCAAACATCTTGCCTAAAAGGATAAATTATTTTTATAATTAACATTATCCCCCCACAAAACACTACAGTAAGTAAGAAGGAATTCTTCCACATTAAACGCATGCCAGTGTCACCCAATGAATAATAACACAAAGACATCTGGTAGTCACATGCTTAGGTTCGTCACCTCAATTTACAGCTGTCGTGGTCCAGGCTTTGTGGATTAAGCCAAACCAGCACATTCTTTCCAGAGCCAAGCTCACCTCGTCGCATAAGACTGCAGTGCTTATATTGCCAAGTGTCAACACAACATAATGGGAATGTGCTCCTGTCCCAGCAGCCACCATTACTAGTGCAAAACCTACTTTTTCGGATTGGTAAGGAAGACATAGTGCTCGCTCCAAAACCTCAGTCTCAGTGAATGCTTCTCTGGAAGAGCATAAGCCTCAACCAAAATCCTGAGCAGCACCAGGGAAAACTGGTCAGATCTCCCTCGGCTGCACGTGCACAGCACTTGCAGCAATGCAAGTAACGCTGGAGCACAGTAACGGTAATGCTGCAGTCCCCAGCTTTTACACTTTTACTTAACAGCTTTTACTTGTCTAAGCGTGTCTCCTACCCTATACGAGCCAACGTTTTTTTCTGAGCCTTACTCCCTTTATTTTTTCATTACCTTTACCCATAGATGAAAAAGTCTATACCTCAAAAATACTTCTAATAAATATTACAGCATATGTACTAAGAAGTAAATAAGTCTTTATTCTTGTAGTGTGTCAGAAAAATTAAGGCAAGTAACAGTGAAACCTTGGGGGCTGGCATACAATTACTTTAATAACTGGAACTAAGGGAACTCCTGTCTCCACAACTTTGAAGGTGAATCCAAAACATTTAATTCAATTGTCACGCAAACTCCAATCTGAAACGTGACAGAGGACTAACTAGTTTCTCTTCTTAGTTAAAATCACAGAAAGTATAATGATTGTTCTAAAGAACACAGGTCCCACTTGAAAAAAAATCTTTGTTTCTCACTGCAACAAAAGCCAAATCCTTGAATGAAGAACAAGTTTTATCTGTGCAAAGACTAGGATGTGTCAGGAATAGAAGGTGATTTCCAACAACTCATGTTGATGAGCACATTCTCTGCTGCTAGCGTATACTCTCTTCCAATACTGAATACTGATAAAACAGTGAAATCAGCCTATAAGCAAGGCAGCAATTTACTTACGCAAACTATAGGACTGGGGGGAGAGGGAATTAAGACACAAATAAAGACTACACCGATGCTACATAAACTCCTATTATACACACTGTAAGACAAACATAAAACAGCAGGTAATGCTTGAATGGGGGAAAATAAAACTGAAGCCGCAACAGAAATGTTGAAATCTGCTTTGGTGGCAATTCCCACTCACATGTCCCAGTTTTCTAGTATTCCAGTAGCTCTTTTATTTCTTTTACTGAAAGTTATTAGGCAATAAATAATCAAATTATAACTCCACTCGTTAAGAATATCAAACAACATAAACCTGCCTAGCTTTATAAAATACCCTCCCAGTTAGGTCATCCAGAGATCCAAACAAATGACCTTCTGTTCTA